ACAAGGACTTAACAAAATCACTTTAAAGCTCTCACTTCATATTATGGGTCGTTTTCTCCAATGCAGCGCTATGACTCGTGTGTAACATCGTATCGTGGTTTGTATTTCACACTGTTTGAGAGACAAGACCGARGGTGAAAGGGTCTGCTTGTAACGCTGCATCAGCTTTCCAAGTGGTGTTAGCAAAATCAATGGTCAAACAATCTGGGACAAGTGGTTGTGTATTGATGGAATAAACTTTGTGTATGATGTGACTTGTTGTCTGTTTAGGCCCATCATTCACGCTCCAACCACAAACATCAATGCTCTGAATCAACAGCGCTCGCAATGATGAAAAATTTAATTTTGCATTTTAGCTGCCCTCTGTTGACCGCTTCTTCAGTATTTTCACTCGGTTAACAATTGAGGATGTGATTAAAGTGCGATTATAAAATTTTATTAAATGTAGAATTGTATTTATGGATTAGATTTCAACAAAGAATGAAAAAAGAGGGAAAAAAATGACCGTAACGACAAACACACGCACTCAGCCAGACAATTTCAAAGGGCCCATTATAAAAATAGGGGCTGGCTGTTCATTCTGAATAGCCCGAATCGTTACCGGGTCCCTCTCCGTACGTTTGACAACTTACATAATGCATTTCCACTAAAATAGCTTAAGTGTTAAAGCTTCTTTTATGGGCAAAAATTGATTCATAAATGCACCGAGGCGAAAGCTAACGTGAGCACAAAGCTTTCAATAACTCCATTTCATACAGACTGTCAATGTACGAAGCGGTTGCATTAGACAAGGTGGCATGCTGATTGCTTTATGAAATCCAGGCTAATTGTTTAGTGGTGTAGTCCTTGGGGCACCCTGCATTAAGACAGGATGAACGAAGTCAAATAAATATAGCTCTTAGCACCCCTTTCACACACACTTACACACACATACAAAGGCCTTCAGCCTTGCGTTGCATTGAAAGTCACTCTCCAGTGGCCACTTTGGTGATCAATGCKAGAGAATTTATCTGGCAGTGGATATTGACAATATTTCCATGACACAAGTCACATCAAATTGGTCTCTGCGCCCTTTAATAAATATAATTAGTTCACTTACATAAAAGAGAATTTTCACTGGAAATGTCATGCTACTGTCAGTGTGAGTCTGGACTGAATGAGACTTGTGGTCAAGGCCATGAAAACATACATATGGGATATTTAAGGGCTACAAGGTGCTTTATTTATTCGGATAAAGTTATAATTTAAAGGGCACTTGTGCCGTTACAACAGCTGCTCAGGAAATTCTAAAAGAAGCGATGTAGCCTGAATGCCTTACATAAATGTAAAGCTATGCTGAATCTGAGTTGCCTGTTCTTTCATCCGTTTGGCCTCTTCTTTCATCTCTGTTCACATCAATATATCCATTCATTCCATTTTATCTACTGTGTGACCTGTGTATATTCACCACATCAAAGGAACGTCTTTTGAGTAAAGGTTTGATCGAGATATTTACTTTCCCCCCKTCTAGTCTGTATGCAGTATTAATCTCTATCTGGAAAAACATTAGAGAATCATTCACGTTTGATAAGTAGATTTTTTTTAAAGAAAGGTAAAGCAAAGCATGTACAAAGATTCTAGTAATAAAAACGAAGTGAAGACCGACTCCCTGGGTACTTTCTGCAGTCATCTGTTTAATATGGTTAAAGAAATTACACAGATCCTTGGGGGGAAGATGTGCATGTGTATTTATTTATTATTGATTTTTTTCTCCGGTGATAAACATGTTAACTTTACAGATATTTGCAAGGGGATGAAGCCGTCTAAGTTATCGTGAAATGATGTGATGAAAGGCATCAAGAAATCGTTACTCAGTAGGTCTGCTTATCAGATAAAATACATTATTCACAGCCAATATCTTAACTTAAATCATCAGCCTTTTTGTCTGGAGCTTATTGATGGTTTTTCTTTGGTCTTGCTCTTTTGTTATAAGTTGAAAATCCTTAATTTGCTAATTGACTTTGTTATGATGGCAATTGGATAATTTGCTGCTTTAAAGCTGCACTGCTGGGTTTGTTTTTGTTATCACAAAGCAGCAGCTGCATTCTGGGAAGCTTTATGAGCTGGTTTGAAACTTAGGATTTCAGTAGATAAAATCAGATGGAGAAAGAAATGATTTGAATCTGATAACATTCACATGTCAAGAATTAACTGCTTAATAAACACAATGTTGGTAATAAAATCTAGTTCAGTAATGTTACTTTTTTTGTTTATTGAGTTCAAATCTTTAGCTTCACATCGACTCCAAAACGGCCATAAAATTGTTCTGATGTGTTTGGATTGATCTTAATTCCAGATACTGAGTGCACAGGGTGGAGCCAGGCATAAAGTGATCTGTAATGGGTGAAATAATTGGTGAAAAGAGACTGGGTTGTCAAAACAGCGCAGGCGTTGCGAGGCTGATAAGCGAGAGGATGTGGACCTTTATCGGGAAGCAGGGCCATCAAGCCAGAGGTAGAAAACCAGCTCAAAAGCAGGCTTCCCCTTGGGCTTTCACATCAACCATCAAATGCTTAAGGTTCATTTGAAAGGGCAAGTCATTCACCAATTATTTGGATTTTATGCAAAAAATGAAATAATGTTAGTTGGCGGAGAGGAGTTTAAAATGTGCRACATAAACACACTTGACAGACAATGAGATCTAGTCGGCAAGGACGCTGACTAGAAAGTTTCATATTGTATCAGAAAGCACAGTGTGCCCTAAGAACCTCCCATAAAGAAAAAAGACAAAATGCACAAAAGAATATATCTTCTTTAAAAGTTAAAGTTTATTTTCCATTTAAGAAAATCATGTCTTACAGRGGTGACTACATTTTTTAATTCATTGTGTGATTTAACAAAGGTTTGTGGCCTTCAGAATGCATTTCTTTGTCCTGTTTGACTTGATTTTTATCTCCAAAGTAGATGTAACTCAGGAGAAATAAAATATGATAAGGACTGCTGTGCTTTTAAAAAGGTGTTTTCTTGACTTTTTTTTTAAAGTTTTTAAATTGGCATTTTTTTTATCCATAAAGGAGGTTCTTTTATAGTTAACTACTGTTACATGTAAAGGTCATTTTAACTTTAAATGTTTAAAAAACACACAAATCTTTAGTTTCACACACAATTGCAAAAACTTTGCAGCTCTCAACATTTTTATATGCAAAGTAAATGCAGACCTTTGATATTAAAAACTAAATTAATGGTATTTAGAAGAAACATGTTACTGAATTTTATGGAAATACTTTTTTCCAGCAGAACCCTTCTTACTTCAAGCACTTCAAACTGAGACATTTATTATACTTTAAAAGAGGCAAGTGGGGAATGAACTAAGATTTTTTTTACATATATTTTATCAAAAGAACTTCATAAAATGTTGTTTACCCTTCATTAAAAAAATAATAATTCAAATTCTTTGAGTGTAAAAACAATAATAAAATAACTCATTTATTGCTTTTATTCATTTGGCCAGTAAGTTTTTCCTTTATTGATTGTTCATACAGATAWATTTAAGTGTAGTATATGAACATAAAAAAACTCATTACTGTGAACCAGATTATGTAAACAAACTACTTAATTTCCACCAAATGCRATTAGCATTGTGCTAGCATCCTATTATGCTCTTTATACATATAGTGCATCTCAATCASAGAATCTCCAGATATGAGGTGCTGTTGATAATAATCATCTGCAGGCAAATATATTTAATGTTAAAAGTTTAATACACAACTTGAGTTACATAAAAATGTTACAATAAATTCAAGATTACCTATAGGAGGCAAAAACTTTTAATTTCCTTACATTTAAAACTTAAAAGCAAAAAAAAAAGTCACTTTTTTTATGTTTTGTACACAGAAGTGATCACTTAATGAAAATGTCTCCAAATGAAAAAGTTCAAGGCCTAAGTGTTCGAAGGACATTTTCAGGCAGGTTTGTTCATTAAATTGTTAGTTATTAAAAAAAAGTTTGAATCGTTCCTAAAGATGAATCTGGGAGTAGAGCCACTGAAATGACAGTGTGTGACAGAGAGAGTATCCTTGCTTATGATGGCACATAGTTCTGCAGGGTTTTGTCTCTGCACATCCCCTTAACGAACTTTTTTTTTTCAGAACATGATTCGTCTGAACCATGAAACCTCCCAGTCTCTCTGTTATTGGGTTTATTTTTCAAAGTGTGATCAATTATCAATCCCAAAATGCCCTCCTCCAACTTCATTATTACAACAAGGTCTTGTTTTATAAATGCACCAAACACGTTTGTTTTAGCTCACGAGGCATTTAAGAGCTCTTTAAAAGAAAAAAATTCCTTCAAATAGAGCAAATGAAGCTCTCCTGAAGTCTTTGTGTCAACAATGTGGTATCATGATTTCAATATCATGGAGGTACAAGTTTAAGGGTCAAATCAGCCTRTCAGAGCTTTTAGAACAGCCCACACTGGCTCCGCTGCTGAGAGATTATGTGAGATGGGAATTGCTGTGATAACCAATCATCTGTGGCCTTTATTTTCCCTGCAGCCATCAGCAAGCTTATTATCATGTCCCTGTCTGCTCCACTCCACTCTGCCCTCATAGCAAACAGGTCTAATTGTGTCTCATAGCTGCAGGCTCCGAGTGGAGGAGAGAGTGAGCTTAGATGAGTGATGCTCAGTGATGTAAATGGCTGAATAATATGGCCCCAGCAGTTGTGGCGGAGCTCTATCTCTCTGTGGTAATCTAGGCCATCAGGGACCAGCCAGTATGCATCATCCACCATCAATGAGMCTCTGTGCTGGTTGGTAATTTATTCAGTGCCACAGTGGTTATTGATAAAGCACTTAAGTACAAATTCCCCCCCTTTTTCCCAGCCACCCTCCTCAACTCAGTGCTGTAAAATCACAGCTTGGTGTGTCCTCTGTGTTTATCTACTTACAGTGTCTGTGTTGATCTTGGGTTAAATCTTTGTTTACTCTGTTACCTGTGCTTTTCTACGTGGTTCTGTCTTCAGGAATTCGTGATGGATCCGTTCAGTCTGAAGCCAGCAGCAGTCCCTGTGAGCAGAGTCAACTGGGCCAGTCTCACCCAGGATACCCGCTCGGTCCACAGGTGTGTACCATAAAATACTTTGTGCTGCATGTTTTATGTCTAAGAGAAGGAACACCTTGGTTATGCTGTTAGTTCAATAAAACTAGTGCTTTTTATGACTTTACGCCTTATTTTGCACACTTTTTGGGTGAGTGTGAAATGTATAAATGAGATTTATTTTAAAGATGCCACAAAAAAAATCAAAAAGTAATTGCCCTTTATTTTTTTTGATATAATAAGTATTGTTTCCATTAAAGTACAAACTTTCAATAATACTACAAATACTAAGACTAAAGCTGTGTAATCCATCATAAACAAGATGCCCCAACAAGCTGTAACCTGAAGTGCAACTACTWGTGCCTGCTGTAAATATCTCAGTAAGTTGTTGTCGTAAAGTGTGGCACAGCTGGCAATGCACATTTTAAAACAACACAGACAACTCTGGTATGTAAAAACAGTGTACTAGTTAGTTGATCACATTAGGGTTTGTCTATCATTGTTTGTTCATCCATAGCTAACTGATAACTTGTCAAAAGCACAGCAGTAAACAAAGACAAGAAAGTGCAGTAGCACTTTATAATAACTACACCTTATTTAMCCTTATTTAATCYTTATGGTTAATTAATCTTAAATATTAATTAAGGATGATTAATATTTAATAAGCTGTAAATCAACACGTATTAATGGTTTAGCCATAAAGGCTAATTACTTCCAGTGAATTATAATTAAAGTAGTAGTAGTACTTAAGTCTTTTTGTGAACCCTTCTAAAGGAAAGACTATTTCTTCTTTTTTACATATTTACTAATATAGAAAGCCCCTGAAGGGCCACAAGTTCTTTTTCACCTGAAATAAGGTTGAAATCAAAGTCCATTCACATGTTCTCTAACTGTTAATCCATGTCTAACACAAGTGCATTTATATGAACTTACACAC